ATATACATTAACATAAAGACTGTAAATTTTGACAACAGACCTTTAATAAATCAAGAACCTTTAAAATTTGATTTAATTCAGAGATCTACCACTGATCTTATAATTTTTTGCCATCTTATTTTACTGGGTTGATTTTGTATTTATGGAAACTTTAACTGTGAAAGATATGAATTTGTGTAATGAATTTACAAAGTTTTGAGTTTGAAACCATCCATCAGAGGTTGAAAATCTCATATCAAATTCCAAAACTGAGCCTCAGTCATTATTATCAGAATTTTAGATGATACTGCACAGTTAAATAGACTTGCCAAGCTCTATAATAGTGATGTCAATGGCTAATCACACATGTTTCTATAAAGAATTTCATGATCACAATTAGGGGTGTCAAGGTTACAAAAAATTATAAACAAGAGCGATCAGTGATCACATGTGTCGCCTCATGATGGCAAATTTCATGTTGGGACAAGTTTTGTGACAGACGGACAGACAGACGGACAGTGCACAACTAGACTTGGCACTGATCATTCCTGTAAAGTTTGGATAAAATTGCACTTTATGAGGAGTAGTCTGGACAAACTTTTGAGTATCTGGCAACACACAGAAAAAAACACCTTTTTATCAAATGGCCATAACTGTGCCAAAAATCATTCAACCGGAAAACCCGTGCGATATGCGCAACAACTTGAGCTACAGATCAATCCTGTAAAGTTTCATTGAAATTGCATTAGTGGTATAAGAGAAGTAGTCGGGACAAACTTTAAAAATAACAAGAATGTCAAACGACACATATACCCCCCTTTCTAGCCATTGACTCACATAATTGGTAATTTTATTACAGAAACTTGCCAAAAATGGGTACATGGAAGTGTTCAATTATGGAAAAATCAATGGAAACCATTTTGACATTTAAGGCCCATGTGACATTGACTTTTGACCTAATGACCCCTAAACCAATAGAGGACATCTACTAGTTATGACCAAGAACTATGTGAAATATGAAGACTTTGTGATGAATACTTTTCAAGATAATCAGCGGAAACCTTTTTTGACATTTAAGGCCCCTGTGACATTGTCCTTTGACCTAGTGACCCCAAAATCAATAGGGGTCATCTACTAGTTATGACCAATCACTATGTGAAATATGAAGACTTTCTGATGAATACTTTTCAAGATAATCAGCGGAAACCATTTTGACATTTTAAGGTCCCTGTGACCTTGACCTTTGACCTAATGACCCCAAAATCAATAGGGGTCATCTACTAGTGATGACCAATCACTATGTGAAATATGAAGACTTTGTGATACATACTTTTCAAGATAATCAGCGGAAACCTTTTTGTCAATTAAGGCCCCTGTGACCTTGACCTTTGACCTAGTGACCCCAAAATCAATAGGGGTCATCTACTAGTTATGACCAATCACTGTGTGAAATATGAAGACTTTGTGATACATACTTTTTAAAATAATCAGCGGAAACCATCTTGACATTTAAGGTCCCTGTGACCTTGACCTTTGACCTAGTGACCCCAAAATCAATAGGGGTCATCTACTAGTTATGACCAATCACTATGTGAAATATGAAGACTTTGTGATACATACTTTTCAAGATAATCAGCAGAAACCATGTGGTCTACCGACGGACAGACAGACAGACAGACCAACATTAGCAAAACAATATACCCCCTCTTCTTCGAAGGGGGGCATAAAAATTATTAAAGGGCCTAAACTCTGACAAAAATCATTGAACCGGAAAATGCTGACAATATGCACAACTAGACTTGGTACTGATCATTCCTGTAAAGTTTGGATGAAATTGCACCAGTAGTTTATGAGGAGTAGTCCTGACAAGCTTTTGTGTATCTGGCAACACACAGAAAAAAACACCTTTTTATCAAAGGGCCATAACTCGGCCAAAAATCATTCAACCGGAAAACCCGTGCAATATGCGCAAGGACTTGAGCTACAGATCAATCCTGTAAAGTTTCATTGAAATTGCATTAGTGGTATAAGAGAAGTATTCCGGACAAACTTTAAAAATAAAAATCATTAAAGGGCCATAACTCTGACAAAAATCATTGAACCGGAAAATGCTGACAATATGCACAACTAGACTTGGTACTGATCATTCCTGTAAAGTTTGGATGAAATTGCACCAGTAATTTATGAGGAGTAGTCCGTACAAGTTTTGTGACAGACGGACAGACGGACGTACTCACAAAATAGTTCTTACCTGACTTTTCCTTTGCTCTTTTTGGTCATTTTTAGTCACACAAGGCTTAAAAAAAGACACACAAGTAAAAAGGGAATGAATAGGATCAAAGAGAATTTACTGTTACCCATTATTCTACAAGTCACAGAAGTACCTCTGGGTTCGTAGGGACAGACAGACGGACAGACAGACGGCGAAGAAGTGATCCCTATATGTCGCCACTACTCCGTAGAGGCGACATAAAGATGCTATCCGCTTAAACAATGACCTAATAACCGTGTTAAACGTTTAAATGACCGTACTTATAAAATCCTGAGATTTTTAACATTAACTTTGTTTCTTTATGACAAATAATGACATTTTGTTCTTATTTTGTTGTGCTCAAAATGATTATAATACATATCCGATATCAACATGTAGTTACTATTTTTCCGTAAGTGTTGTACCGTATTTCGATCAGATTGTTGAGTAAAATTAATAAACAAACAAATTGTCTTATCTTGTTATGAAACACTAAGGTAATATTTACAATCAATTTAACACTTTTTCACCACTATGTCAAGAAATAACCTTACTTATCATCTATTGAGTTTTCTAAGTGGGTTTCAGATAAAAGCCAACTGTACCCGTCTACACGGATAAACATAACAACGCTAATCAAAATATCCAAGCTAAAACAACCACAGTTTTGTTAGACTAGACTGTACATTATTCTCATTTATATCAATAATAGCTAACAAAAACAGTAAATATGCTAATATAACTAACCTAAAGAAATACAGTAACAACACAAATATAAAAGTTATTATTTACTAACATTACTTAGTATATTTAAAATAAGTTAACTAATAATTTTGACACACACTTAATCTGCACTAAGTAAAATACATAATTTACATAATTTAAAACACACAACATACACAGCTGACACTAAATTGTATTACTTTCAAAATTAATTCATTAATAAGATATAAAATTTGTGTTACTATACCTACAGTATTATAAGCCTTCGATGTGAAATAAAATTCTCTACAACATAACAAATTTTACACGTAATATATATTTTCACTCTATTTTCACACTAAATATTTTTTTTTTCTCACCAGAAACTATGAGATCACAGACAGCTTGATATATGACCATTTATATCACAGGTCTTAGTATTATAGGCACTTTGATGCATAAACAAAGCATTATTAACACATAGTAATTGTTTCCTACAATTGTATTAAACAAACAGTATGACTTACTTCTCACAGGAACTTTCAAGTTGATATGTACATTGTATTTAATACAAAAAATATTTTACAAGAGGGCCATAATGGCCCTTAATTATATTTCTCACCTGACAATGGAAAGGCTCTAGTATGAATGTAAGGCCGGTATTAGGACAAAATCTGGGTCAACTGATTTCAAAGTTCATATACATATTATGCATCTGAAATACAGTATTATACAGGAAAAAAAAATCACTGATTGCTGAGGAAAGTCAATGATTTCTATGGAAGACACTGGTTGTTTGAAAAGTCAATGGTTCCTCTGAAAGTCAATAGACGTCATTGGATTCTATGTAAAGTCAATGGTTACAATGGAAAAACAAGTGTTGCTATAGAAGACACTGGTTGCTATGGAAATCAATACATGCTATGGAAATCAGCTTGACCACATAATTTGAACAAACTTGGTAGCAATCCACTAGACAATGGTTCAAATATATCTAGGATCTCTTCTTCATGGGTTACAAGGTGAAGATTAAAGGGAAAGACATGACCCACTAATTACGGCCAAATATAATCCCAGGGCAATAATCTGAACAATCTCTCTTATTAGAAGTTCTCTAGACAATGTTTAATGCCAAAAATCTAAGCATCAGTTTCAGAAGATGTTTCAGTTTTTACTATATAAAAGTAAAAAAAGAAATGACCACTCAGAACTTGGCCAATTTTGATCAAGGGTTATAATCTGAACAAGGCAGTCTGAAGGACAGCTAAATCCCCTTCCACAGCGGACATAAATGTGTACTTCTTGACCTTTAACCAACCATGACCTTAATGTTGTGTCATGCATATCATAAGCACATAGTCTCACGATGGTGATTATTTGTGCCAAGTTATTTACAATCTTCCATATATAAAGTTATGGAGAACATATAACCTTGACCTTTGGGGGAGCAACCTCGATGTAACTTTGGGGTAGCAACCTGGATGTTATCCTCTGCAGATTGTGTCATGGTGGAAGATCATTTGTGCCAAGTAATTTTAAAATCTTAGAATTGTCAGTATGTTATAGAGCGGACATGAAAAATAGATTTTTAACATCGGACCTTTGAGTGTGTCTCTGACCTTGAGTAACTTGATTGTTGTGCTCTGCACATTGTCTCATAATGTTGGGCACTTGTCCCAAGCTATTTCAATTTTTTCCAGCAGTTTGAAAGTTATGCAGCAGACATGAAATGTAGACTTTTTAACACTTGACCTTAAAGTGTGACCTTGATTTTGGGGGGAGCAACCCAATTATTGTGCACATCATCTCATAATTGTGATCACCTGTGCCAAGTCATTTCAGAATTTTTTTCAGCACTTTAAAAAATAACAAATGTAGACTTCTTAACACTTGACCTTTAAGTGTTACCTTGACGTTATGGGTAGCAATGGGAAGCCACCCAGTTATTGCCCTCTGCACATTATTTCATAATGGTGATCACTTGTGCCAAATATTAAAAAAAAAAACAGCAGTTTAAAAGTTATAAAACTGACATGAAATGCAGACTTTTTTACACTTTACCTTAGTGGGGCAAAGATTTATCCAAGGGATGTAACTGAATAAAACTTGATAGCAATCCAATTGATAACTAAGAATTGACATTAAATATGTAAGAACCAGCCATTGAGGATTCAGAAAAAAAACAACAGATTTTTTATTTTTTTTAGTAAATTTTACCCTTGGACTTTAATTGAAGAAATTTGTTGGAGACCTACTAGAAAACTATTCATGCCATACAAATGTATGTGAAGGACAGCTAAAAATTCCCTTTCACAGCGGACATGAGCCAATACCATAAGCCAATACCAAGAAAGAAGGAAGCATACTGGCTTAGACTACACCAGACTTAATGGTTTCTAGCATGTATCATATGTGTCTTATTTCCACTGTTAGTTATATTTATCATATAATCATTCATTTGGTGTGATGTTTCTTAGCCAGTTATGCCATAAACAAAGATTTATAAGTATATCATTTGTTTCGTGGTTTTAATTTGATTGAGTAAAAACAAAATTTTAACTAACTACTATATATACTCAACATCTCTAATTCCGCGTCATCACTTATTTTCACGTAAAGGCATATTTTCATGTGACCAGGGTTAAAATTGGTCAGAATTGACATATTTTATTCATACACCTTAACAGCAATGTTTTTGTGCAAAACATTGTAAATCTCAAGATTTTTACATAAAAACAGAACATTTTACAAGAGTCCATTAAATTTGTGCATATGTCTGAAACATTCATCATTTTCTAATTGTTCATGTTTGTTGAAAAAAGCTACATAGAAAGATCATTTTAAATGTTTAAAATTGAGCAATATAACATATGGAAATTTAACTGAAACATGGATAAACTATAGTGTAACACAATTTACCGCGATTTAAATGATGACATACTCTTTTCAAAATGGCCAACATACGCCAATTAAAACTGATTTTGCCTGAATATTTTGTTGTTTCCTTAAGTCATACAGCAGAAAATCTCTGTTTGTTACAGCTTATGGAATTTTTGTACCGTAAGTTTAAAAATTTGTTGTTTTCTTCACTGTTTCAAAGCAATAAGTACCACAAACTAAGAGGAGCACGGTATACCCCCTAACTTTGTTTATGGAAATATAATCAAGTATAGAATTTCTGTAGAGCGTCACCTACAGATTATTCATTCCAGTGAAGTTCAGTCAAAATCTTCCAACTGGTTAAAGAAATTGTTGATAATGACCAATGACGAACACACTGCTACCACTAAAGCACACTAAGATGAGCACTTTGTGCTCTCAGGTAAGCTTAAAACTACAAGAACAAGTTTATCATTTGTTTTTTTTTTACTTTGAGCAATTCAATTTAGATATGAGCACTTTATTTGAGAAATTCGACTCCTATATAAATATAGAATATAATTTTTACTAGTTACTTATAAAAATATATAATGAATTTCGATTTCATACTTAATTCACTAATTATATACCTTCTACAACTGTTTCTGTTAATTCACAACATTTAATTCATCACATTTTATTTTATACATGTATTTCAATTCTAATTATGACACTATCTACATGCATAGAATATCATTGCATCCCTCCATAAACATATGTAAAAATTATTCGAGAACCTTTGTCAGCTATGAGATCACAGTGAACTTAATGATAGTTTTACTTAGCACAATTATATAAACTATGGCACATTATTCCTTAAGCAAATTGTATATTTTATAATGACATGTATAATTATGGTAATGGTATATGACATTAGCAATGTCAGCACTTCAAATAAGACTTCATCCTTCCACAATCATTCCACCATCCAACCATATCAGCATCCAGCAATTTATATATATTTTTTTATCATTGTCATTCCAATGTACAACTTTTAAGCTTTATTGATGGAGGGGGACTTCATTTGTCCCTCTATTTATTATTTCAGGCACAAGTGGGTACCTGAGTAAAATGCCAACCTTATTTTTTCCCCTTCAAAAAGGTCTAGTTGTTTGAAGTCATCAACAGTTCAACAAAAGAAGCTCCAAATAAACAATATGGCCTAAACCTCATAATTATAATTAACTCAATGCTTTCAAATGTCAACAATGTCAAATACTATGTAACTTCCTGCCAATTATTATAATAACATATTATAATGATATACACACAATAACTTCAAAGGTTAGATTCAAATTTAAATTTTCTCTGTTTGTTACAAACATATACTGCCAACTATACCTTTTTGATTTCTAACTCTTTGATTAGCCAGTCAATGATGGAATTCAACAAAAGATATTCACATTATGAGGTATCTTCTGGTATTTTCAATAAAGGAACTATATGATTCAATATGCCATTTACAATGCCAGCATGGTTTACCCAAAATATGTGCAGGTCAGGCCGAGTAACATCAATGCTTTCACCAAGTAAATGTTTGATCCAAGGCACTACCTCTGATGTGTATCCATACTGTGTATTATATTGAAAGTGTTGCTCTATGTTTATCCCTATAGCCCCACACAGAAAACCAACATGTAATACACCTAAAACAAAAAAAAGGTTGTTCTATTTAGCCACACCTATCTTTTCAATTACATAATAAAGATCATAAAGAGCATATTTACCTACGTTTATTTTACGGAAAGTTAAGAATTAAATAAGTAACACACTCTAACTTTCCCAAGACACCACTCTTATAAAGAGATTTTTGTCTTTAGCGGCAACTTTAAATTTACCCTGATTATTTCAAGCAATCACAAGTGTCACAATTAAAACACAATGCATATGTGAACAACTTAATTCCCAAACCCGAAGCATATGCACTATCACTAAATGTGATTAATACCCCTGCAAGACTGCTTTGGAAATGAGGAAGTTACTAGTAACAGAATAACTTGTAAAACAATTGAAATAGAGTTATTTGTTGGCAATTAAAGATAGTTGTGGTTCTTGTATGTTGCATTTCCTTTCAATGTGGTTGGTTTATACAGAATTTATTTAAGTTCCATTGTGCAGGAAGCTATAAGCTTATAAACGCACTTTCGAATCTGTTCCTGGAACCAACCAGTACTGAGCAATGAGTGTAAAGTTTCTTGCTCAAGGAAACAATGACTTGCCCCTGTCAGGGTTTGAACCCATGTGGCTAGTGATCATTAGATTACTAGTCCGAAGCGTTAACCACTCGGCAATGCAGCCACTGTGGTTGACCATTGATAAAGTTTTATTGAATTACTCTATAGTAAGTCCAGATAGAGTTACAGTTATTGTGCACTGCTTGTCCTCTCATTGCGCTTGACCATTGTATGAAGTTGTTTTGAATTCCAACCAGTAGTTTTTAAGGTATGCTCAGGACAAGGAAAAGTAACAAAGGACAATAACTCTGTAATTAGTCAAGATGGAGATATGGTTCTTGTGCATTGTACTTCCTCTCAATGTGCTTGACCATTGTAGGAAGTTATATTGAATTCCAACCATTAACCTTAAAGTTATACTCCAGACAAGGAAAATGCAATGGGCAGCTGGACCGACCGACCAACCAACCGCCGGGTGACTCCTATATACCCCCCCAAACTTCTTTTCGGGGTTATTATGAAGTTCACTTGTCATGTGTATTGTAACACTTTGCCCTATACTGTGAGGGTGTATACTGGATTGATATTTCTGTTGCTATGAATTGACCTTTATCTTTACAAGACATTGATTGTTTATTTAAAATTACAAAATGCACAACAGAAAGCATCAATAACAGTGGAAGGTTTAGAGTAATGAAATATTAAATAAGACAAGATAATATTTAACAAGGGCAACATTGTTGCAAAATATGCCCGTCACAACTAGACCTATCACTGAAGGTGATTAATACCCCCACCAGCAACTTTGACTCTTGAACAATAAGTTGTCTGAAGAAACATTTGAAATAAACCTACAGTAAATAAAGTACCATCAGCACTGTGTACAAAGAATTATTTCAATTTATTGCAATCCCAACTATCTTAATCTTGATATAAGCTTGCTATACACCAAGTTTGATAACAATATCTCATTCCTAACCCTAGTAATTGTCTGGAAACCATTTTTCAATTTTTAGTAACTGTGACCTTGAACCAGGGAGTCCAATGCAATACCAAGTGCGGGTCTTCATGTAAGCTTGCTAAACACCAAGTTTGATTACAATATATGATTCCTAACTTTAGTTATTGTCCGGAAAACCATTTTTTCTATTTTTAGTAATGGTGACCTTGACCTTGGCCCAAGGGGGGTCAGATGCAATACCAACCTATGTCTTTCATATAAGCTTGCTATATACCAAGTTTGATTACAATATCTCATTCCTAACTTTAGTTATTGTCCGGAAACCATTTTTCTATTTTTAGTAACGGTGACCTTGACCTTGGCCCCAGGGGGGCCAGATGCAATACCAACAGGGGTCTTCATGTAAGCTAATGCTATATACCAAGTTTGATTACAATATCTCATTCCTAACTTTAGTTATAGTCCGGAACCCATTTTTCTATTTTAGTAACGGTGACCTTGGACCTTGGCCCCAGGGGGTCCAGATGCAATACCAACAGGGGTCTTCATATAAGCTTGCTATATACCAAGTTTGATTACAATATCTCATTCCTAACTTTAGTTATTGTCCGGAAACCATTTATCTATTTTTAGTAATGGTGACCTTGACCTTGGCCCCAGGGGGTCCAGATGCAATACCAACCGGGGTCTTCATATAAGCTTGCTGTACATCAAGTTTGATTACAATATCTCATTCCTAACTTTAGTAAGTTTGATTACAATATCTCATTCCTAACTTTAGTTATTGTCCGGAAACCATTTTTGTATTTTTAGTAACGGTGACCTTGACCTTGGCCCCAGGGGGTCCAGATGCAATACCAACCTGGGTTTTCATATAAGCTTGCTATATACCAAGTTTGATTACAATATCTCATTCCTAACTTTAGTTATTGTCCGGAAACCATTTTTCTATTTTTAGTAACGGTGACCTTGACCTTGGCCCCAGGGGGTCCAGATGCAATACCAACCGGGGTTTCCACATAAGGTTGCTATATACCAAGTTTGATTACAATACCTCACTCCAAACTCTAGTTATCGTCTGGAAACCATGATGTGGACCGACCGACGGACCGACCGACCGACGGACCGACCGACAAGCTGACTCCTATATACCCCCCCTAAACTTCGTTTGTGGGGGTATAAAAACTTTTGACAGTCATGTGGGCATTATAGATATGGATATATGCTCTAGGCAATATCCCATGAATATCTGGATATTCATCACCTCTAGTGACCTTGACCATGCAAATATTAACATAAATTACACTTATCACACTTTAGTCATGATAGTTATCATTTGTGTTACAATCCATCAATAAATGATGACTAAATGGTCCCTGTACATATCTTCTGTTTTATCTTAACTTTTACCTCTCTATGTCAGCAGGGACCTGGATTATGAGCACAATACTTACCCTCACAATGGTGACAATTGTGCCATGTTAAATCCACAGATGAATGTAGAAAATTTGCTCGAAACAAGCATTTTTCAATGACCTCAAAGTGTGACCTTAACCTTTGACCTAGAGACCTGGTTCATGCACGTGACACTGCTTCTCATAGTTGAAAACATGTCTATGAAGTTTCATTAGAATCCCATCATGCGTGTACAAGATAGGCCTTGGACACACTAAACGTTATGACAATATGCCAAAACTTTCTATAGTAATTAGTTGGACAATCTTTAAGGGGATCAGTGCAAGGTGACCTTAACTTTTGACCTCAAAATTATGGGTCATTTACTAGTCACAACTAACTTCCATTCTTAATCTTAGAACTGTAGGCCAAAGCTGTCTTGTTATTGGTCGGGTGTCTTGTTAATGGTCGGACAAACATTTGAAGGCCAAGGCCATGGTGACCCTGACCTCTGACTATAATTATATAATTACCTTTTGGCAGCAAAAGGGTTAAAGAACTGAGTGACTGACATGTCTGTATAAGATTGTTCTACACTTACTACTTTTTATTCCAAGGCAAGCTGTTTCCATTAGCAACACTTTAAGGCATGAATCAATAATAGTTTCAGCATCTTCTAATTTTTGTATTTCTCTAATCATTTGATCATTCATATAGTCCCTAAAGAACACCTTCCAATGTTCAGCATCCCAATTACCAGTACCACAAAGCAGCTGCAAAATAATATCGAGGATAACAAAATGCTCCAAGATCACACAGAAAAAGTTACACATAATAATTACATTATCATTTATAACTGTTTTTGTCTCAGTGTTCTTGATAAAATCTACTCTATCAAAAGTGAAAATGTTAATGCAAGTTACTTTGAAACTAAGTACATGTATAACTCAATATTGCAAAACAGATAATGACTACATACATAAAAGAAAACAAAGAAATTTGTGACTAATTTTGTTTCAATCAATCTCACATCTAATCCAAAGTTTGATCTCTAGCAAGTTTCATCAAATTAGACACAAATGCTTTAAGTAGAGAAACTATGTAAAAAAAATAAAACAACTGACAAATAACAGATGACAAAATTTAATGTATATTCCTAAAACTCACCAAGACCTCTGTTATCTAAAGAGCTAAAAAGACAAAAGTTTTCAATTTGAAATACTTGTCCACTTACTTGTTTTTTATACATTTCAAATGATGAAACAGCATGTAAGGTAGCCATTAATCTTAGACTACACTGTAAGTTTTCCGTCCCACTCAACAATAGGCTTACACTTTGATATAAACAAGAGTTGTCGTCCCCACTTGACCGATATGCTTGAAACCCTTGCGGTGTATTCCTGCAAACAAATAAAAGTTTATATTACTTGGTTTAAGCATATTTGTTGTAAAGATATATATGCATGTTGATAGTTGACATATTAAAACAAACAGGATCTGGACCAAGAGCTGCATTAGCTCATGGTAGTCCCCCTCCTTATTAACATATTACAATGTACTTGTAAAATGAGTTTAGTTTTATAAGGTGTACATAACTACTTGCATGTTAAACATATGCAATATTTTTAATAAACCCAGCCCCATAAACATCTAATTTATTTATGTCCTTATTTTCAGTTGAATAAGTAAAATAAACAAAAGGGCCATGATGGCCCTGAGGTCACTCACCTGTATATAGGCCCCCCCCCAACTTTGCAGGGCCAATTTAACCAAAGGGCTTTTATTTGCACAAACTTGGTAGACACCCATAAGAAGATGTTTCATGCTAAACATCTAAGCTCTAGCTCATTGGGCTTTTTAAAAGAAGATTTTTTTTAAGTTTTTACTAGGGATGTCATCTGGAGTCGAAACGGCCATCCAGATATCCGAATCAAACATCCTGATGTTCGGATTGTTGTTATATTCTTAGATGTCTGATATGACGTAACCATTTTTTCGCGACCTTTTTCAGAGTGTAGTATTTCGTTTTTCTTCCCTTTTAATTGAATGATACATATAAAAAAATTTCCGTTATTGATTCTATTTCTTCTATATAGAATACCACTAGCTGTTATCAATAAATTTAGTGCATGTGTTACTTAGATTTCAAATGAAATGAAAACGAAATTTGCTGCCGAATGTTTGAATTCTTCAATTAGCGCTATAATACGCAATAAAATTCGCTCACATTTGTGAAAACAAAATAATACACATAAAAATTAAATAATATTTTATTATGTTTCCATTGTTCCATAACACGCATACAATTTACACACGATGACCTTTAACACACGTGTAGCCGGCTTTTCAAAAGAATCTGCAAATCTTTGATGTTTACCATCATGTAGCCCTGGCTGTTTGATTCGAATCTTCAAAGAAAGTGCTGAAACTTACACACATTTGTGTTCATAAGTGAAAAAAGAAAAGTGAAAAAAACTAGAAATGTGTCATAATGCCACGGATGCCCCCGCATGCAGCCAAAATTTCAGATGGTGAATTAATTATTTTTTTCATTTTAAGTTCAAAGCCCTTAAAACTTTTCAATGTTAACACAAACCATTTCCATACAATGTTCAAGGCACTGAAATTATTCAGTCTGAACCTTTTAGAAATAGCATATTGCATATTTGTAGCCAAAATAATGGCTAAAAGAATGAGTGCTGAAACTGAAAGTTCAAAATTTTTCCAACATTCAGGAAAGATAAGTTTGTCTAAAATCATTGAACCATGACCAAATTCAAACTTAAACTGGTTATTCCTAAGATGTATCTATATTATTTTCAAAGTGAAAGGGACATAACTCTGCCAAAAAATCATCAAACCATGACCAAATTCGAACTTGACCTGCCCATTCCTTTGACATATCCATATGTCAAATTAAAGTTGAATATGTAACACTGTTGGGTAGATAATGAACAGAAACTGTAAATTTCATATTATTTTCAAAGTGAAAGGGGCATTACTCTGCCAAAATCATTGAACCATGACCAATTCGAACTTGGCCTGGGCATTCCAAAACATATCCATATGTCAAATTTGAGTTGAATGTGTTGTACATTGGGGAGATAATAAACGGAAACTGAAAATTTCATATTACTTTCAAAGTAAAAGGGGCATAACTCTGCCAAAAATCATTGAACCATGACCAAATTTGAACTTGACCTGCGCATTCCTTTGACGCATCCATATGTCGCGTTTGAGTTGAATGTGTTGTTCCTTGAGGGAGATAATGAACGGAAACTGAAAATTTCATATTATTTTCAAAGTAAAAGGGGCATAACTCTGCCAAAAATCATCGAACCATGACCAAATTCGAACTTGACCTGTATTTTGTCATGACATATCCATATGTCAAGTTTGAGTTGAATGTGTTGTACCTTGAGGGAGATAATGAACGGAAACTGAAAATTTCATATTATTTTCAAAGTAAAAGGGGCATAACTCTGCCAAAAATCATCGAACCATGACCAAATTCGAACTTGACCTGTATTTTCTCATGCCATATCCATATGTCAAGTTTGAGTTGAATGTGTTGTACTGTTGGGGAGATAATGAACGGAAACTGAAATTTCATATTATTTTCAAAGTAAAAGGGGCATAACTCTGCCAAAAATCATCAAACCATGACCAAATTCGAACTTGACCTGTATTTTGTCATGACATATCCATATGTCAAATTTGAGTTGAATGTGTCCAAACGTTCTTAAGATAATGAACGGAAACTGATGATGACGGAATGACAGAAGGACGGAAGGACGGAAGGACGGAATGACGGAACAGGGTAACACTATATGCCCCGGCCATGTAATGGCCGGGGCATAATAAAAATGTTTTAAAAAAAATGCACATGTTTGATTAATACTAAAGGAGAAAGTTATTTTGTCGGATAATTTTCGTATCAATTTCAATAAAAGCTGTGATAATTAACATATAATTCGTAAGTGCATTTCTTTATTTGCTTATTTCATTTTTGCAGATTTTTCATTGTCTCAAAATAAGGAGTCGACGGGTCGGTCTGCCGAAATATATATAAAAATAATAACCTAATTAAGGTGACAACAGACACTTTCCGTGGTACTCACATAAATGTCATTTAAACCAAGTTATTTTAGTAATAATTGTAATTCATTTAATCTTTGTGCATTAAATGTCGTTGATCATCATAAAAAATAACATATTTGAAAAAAATGCCTTTGTAAATGATTGATTTTGAATAAAAATCCTAAAATTTTAAATCGTCATATCAAAGTCATTTTTTATTTTTTTGTCATCAATTTTTGGAAAATAACCATACTTATATTATCTGGGGAACCGTGTCTCAAATTTTTTATATCTTTTCTCAAAAAAAATATTACGTAACATCAAATATTTTATGCGACTTTTTTTACCATACATATTACGTAATTAAAGATAATTAAGTCGCTGATTGAGCAAACAAAAATCCCTGACACGGTTCCCCCGTAAATGAATTTCCTTTCATGTGCTTTAAACCGCATGTTAATTGCTTGATTATTAAAAAAGTTATGCCGATTCAAAGTTAGTCCGACCCGCATCAAACGAAGTGTCATAAATCTGCTGTTCTCTCTCGGACCCTACGTTTCAAGCTAAATAATTGCATAATACACAAATATCGCACCAGAGAGGGTCACAAGTTGCGGTAACATACTCTAACAACATTTTATGACCCAGTGACATCTGACCAATTAAAAAGCTGCTGATTAATATCAGTTTATAGCCGAAATTTCTTCAATTCTTAACGTGATTTACTGTCCGTCTGGTATCTGTCGCGCATGTCACGTGACTATCGGTAAAATTTGAGGCACTCAGTGGGGGCAAATGGAACGCATTTGCGCACCGCTAGCGGGGTATTTAATTGTTTCCTATTTGAAGTTTATTATTATTATCATCAGCATTATTATTGTATTATACCAGTGTCACTATGCCTGTGTATTCGTGTATGAAATTCCGTTAAAATTATTAAATAAAATAACAAAAAACTGAGCTTCTGACAGTCTTTTTAAGTCCATGGTAGATGTACAAATAAGAAACGGTATAGTATATATTTTTTCCACAAATTGATAATGCTTCACATATTTTAATAGAAATAAAAGGTATTACTCGATCATTATGATGTGGCTTTCTTGACTTCTATTATCATGAATATCATCTATGCACGGCATAGAGATCCAGTTTCTACCGGGATAGACAATAAATTTCATACTTTGTCCAGATTTATTAGTACTGTGTCGGATTTACTGGCGAACAATTTATTTTCACTGAGAATATATTTTAATATCTTTTTTTATTCATAGAGAAATAATCATCCTTAGACAATCTAAATTGGTTTAGAAATTTTGTCAGGGACACCTTACCACAAGTCATATAAGCGTTCACATAAAAAATGTCGTCTGTTGTTGTTTTACTTGACATTGTTAGAAAACGAGGTTGAATGTAAAGTAAGCCCTTGAATCCGTACAAAAGTCTATCAACTCAATGTTATATATATCAGATTAACAGGAAAGACAAATTATTTTCACACATTATGGTTATTTTAGCAACTACATTTTTAATCAACCCTGTGGTCGTGCGATTTGCCTCTATGCTTAATTATTTATGTTTCATACATTATGTTACGTACATTGGCCGACAATTTCTTAATTTATAAAAAAGGCTAAATGTTGAGATAATCATAAAAGATGTATGGTAGATGAACGATACATGTATTACGAGAAGTATGGACCAGTATGGACCTGTAATTCACAGATATATGGAACTACCGATTTCCCTCATTCATGCCTCAACAGGGGGCGGAGCGTTATCGATAATCGACAGGTTACGCGAATAGCAGATACAAATAGTATAGGTATCGTTTTAAATCGTTTAAAAACACATTTTTTGGACTAACTGCTTCCACAATTAAATCACGAATGTGTTCAGAAAAGGTTGATAAATCTACTTAGCAAAAAATCTCATTTTAGGTATTTTCAGTGATAATTGACTCCCTTGTCACCTTAAATATTTAAATTTGGACATAAAAAATGTAACATCATTGCCGATGACAGTCGCACGGGACTTAGAATATCCATCTTGAATCTTACAAAACTTAACTTTGATTAACAACATGTGTCATAATTGACTCATAATTATTATAGTAATTATTGATTTTTTGTGGTCTGCAGAGATTATGATGTGTATTGTCAAACTAAGGTACAATATACAATATGGTGTCAACACCATGCCTACGATTATCTCAACGCATGTATTTATCACATTTTCTCAATATTTTAAAATATTTTATACGAACATCCGGATCAGAAAATCGGCTGACACCGAATCGTTATCCGAACGTTCAGCTATCCGGACTCCGAATGACATCCCTAGTTTTTACAATACACATATAGTTAAAAACAATGACACCCCTGGGGCCGGGCCAGTTTTGACCCCAGGGCTTTTATTTGAACAACTTTTGTAGACACTTACAAGAAGATGTTTCATGCTTAATATCTAAACTCTAGCTATTTGGGTATTTTCAAAGATGATTTTAAGTTTTTGCTATACACATATAAAGAAAATCAAGGACCCCCGGGGCTGGGCCAATTTTGACCCCAGGTCTTTTATTTGGACAAACTTTGTAGACACTCACTAAAAGATGTTTCATGCTTAATATCTTAACTCTAGCTATTTGGGTTTTTTCAAAGAAGATTTTTTAAGTTTTTGCTATACACATATAAGGAAAATCAATGACCCCCGAGGTGGTGCCAATTTTGACCCCAGGTTTTTTATTTGAACAAACTTGGTAGACACCTATTAGAATATGTTTGATGCTAAATATCTTAGCCATAGCTCTTTGAGATCTTTAAAAGAAGATTTTTTAAGTTTTTACTATATGCATATAGGGAAAATCAATGACCCCCTGGGGCGGGGCCAATTTTGACCCAAGGGCTTTTATTTGAACAAACTTGGTAGACACTTATTAGAACATGTTTCATGCTAAATATCTTAGCTCTAACTCTTTTGGTTCTTTAAAAGAAGATTTTTTAAGTTTTTACTATATGCATATAGGGAAAATCAATGACCCCCTGGGGCAGGGCCAATTTTGACCCAGGGCTTTTATTTGAACAAACTTGGTAGACACCTATTAGAACATGTTTGATGCTAAATATCTTAGCCATAGCTCTTTGAGGTCTTTAAAAGAAGATTTTTTAAGTTTTTACTATATATATGTATATAGGGAAAATCAATGACCCCCCCGGGGCGGGGCCAATTTTGACCCCAAGGCTTTTATTTGAACAAACTTGGTAGACACTTATTAGAACATGTTTCATGCTAAATATCTTAGCTCTAACTCTTTTGGTTCTTTAAAAGAAGATTTTTTAAGTTTTTAATATATGCATATAAGGAAATTCAATGACCCCCCAGGGCGGGGCCAATTTGACCCCAGGGCTTTTATTTGAACAAACTTGGTAGACACCCATTAGAACATGTTTCATGCTAAATATCTTAGCTCTAACTCTTTGGGTTCTTTAAAAGAAAATTTTTAAGTTTTTTCTATATGCATATAGGGAAAATCAATGACCCCCCGGGGTGGGGCGAATTTTGACCCCAGGGCTTTTATTTGAACAAACTTGGTAGACACTCACTAGAAGATGTTTCATGCCAAATATCTAAGCTCTAGCTCTTATGTTTTTTTAAAAGAAGATATATAAAGTTTTTTCTTTCGGTTGCCATGGCAACCAGAGTTCTGCATGGAATTAAATTCTTTGAACAATGTTTAAAGGTGACCACCAAAGGAACATTCCTGTGAAGTTTGGATGAAATTGGCTCGCTGGTTTATGAGGAGATGTCATTTAAAGTAAAAGTTTACGGACGGACAGACAGACGGATGGATGCCGGACGAAAAGCGATCACAAAAGCTCACCCTGTTAATTTGTGACAGGTGAGCTAAAATCATTAAAAAGGCAAATACAATATTTCAGTAGTGTAATAAAGCTGAATGCCACCAGTTTGAAGTTTATTTTTGATAAAAACTCGGAAATTGTTCTGATGAGTAAACATTAGCTCTGGTGGCCATTTTGTGCAGGGTAACAGAACATGCCAGCGATATGCACAACTTAGTATGGTACTGAACACTCCTGTTTAGTTTGACAGAAAGTAGAAATCTCTTCCCCTCAACCCAGGAGTTTGATCTGTGAAAGCCAGAGAAAGACAGCAAAGGCAAAAGCAATATATCTCCCAAATTTCTTGGGAAATATAATAACTAAGTATGACCTTGACCTGAGAAAGTTCAAACCTGCACTTTGCACATTGTCTCATTATGGTTTATATTTCTGTCTTAGTTTAAATTTCATTCAGTTCAATAGATACAGAACAGACACGACAATTGGTGGTTTAGGACAACATGTTCTTTAAAAAAATTGTGGAACGATACATGTAGATGGCAGACAAACTGCCATGACAAAATATCATCTCTCAGCACTTTGTACTCTGATGAGCTAAATAACAGAATGGCATTAATATGTTCCTTATAAAAACATCACTCACTCCCCTAGAACTGTTTCTTTCAAGTATTTGAATCAATGATTCCAAAGATAAGAAAAAATAAACAAACTCTGAAATGAAAACTTTTCTGTAAAATTTCATATAAATCATAAAAAGTGTTTTTTGTAGACACTTACTCATACTGTATAGATTCTGGAAGAGATTTCACAAGTTGAGGTGGAAGCAGTGTCTCTGCAGTTAATTCTGGTCGTTTCTTCTTTATTTCATCACACTTTTCAACAAATATCTCAAAATTTTCTGTAATGGCTTTCCGATCATAATCAACCATTTTAATTGTTACAAATTCCTTTAAATCTTTCATGCACATCTGAAATGAGAGATGATATCAATTGTTGCTTTAACAAATATCTTTTATTATGTTTTCTGCTTTGCTTCTAAAAAATCACAGTTAAAAATATCTTTCTCTCAAACTTTATAATTTTAGCAATGCAACGTGTTTCATTTGGGTTTATTTAAACATGTATATGACATTATGTCAATGAATCAAATTTTTACTATTATAACAATTAAATATATGCTTCAAAATATGAAAACAAGCAATTATCATAGTATTGCAAGCAATCCATAAGTCCCCTACCGGTTAGAACCCCTTCAACATTCTGAAGGGCCATTGGCCATTCACTAGTGTTTCAATTTTTCTCTATTTTAAGTAAATTTGTTGGAAAAGTTCTTTAAAAGTGATCAGAGGAAACAGTTTTTATGAACAGACAGACAGACGGACTGAAGGACACTCTAAAGTTAATATTTGAAACATCCCTGTTACCAAAATATAACATTTTAAAAGCAAAATTCTTAAAGAGGAGATGACTCTTGAATTAAAGATGCGATTTCATAAAAATTTTCAGCTCTTTTTGACTAATCACAAATATTGTTATATTTGCCATGTTTTAAGCCTATTTGTTGCCTTATTTGTTGCCAAGGCAACTGATATTTTTTCTAAATAGGAAGAACAGATAAGACATGCATAATCTCAAGACTGCTATCTACCCATATGTCAAGTTTCATAAAAATATTTCCAGTACTTTTTGAGTTATCACTGGATTCAGTTTATGTGTAAAATTTGCCATATTTTTAGTCTATGTGTTGCCATAGCAACCAGAATTTTCAACATAGGAAGAAAAGAAAAAAACGTGCATTATCTCAAGACTGCCATCTACCCATATGTCAAGTTTCATAAAAATATTTCCAGTACTTTTTGCGTTATCACTGGATCCAGTTTATGTGTAAAATTTGCCATATGTTCAGCCTATTTGTTGCCATAGCAACCAGAATTTTCAACATAAGAAGAAAAGAAAAAAACGTGCATTATCTCAAGACTGCCATCTACCCATATGTCAAGTTTCATGAAAATATTTCCAGTACTTTTTGCGTTATCACAGGATCCAGGTTATGTGTAAAATTTGCCATATTTTCAGCCTATTTGTTGCCATAGCAACCAGAATTTTCAACATAAGAAGAAAAGAAAAAAACGTGCATTATCTCAAGACTGCCATCTACCCATATGTCAAGTTTCATGAAAATATTTCCAGTACTTTTTGTGTTATCACTGGATCCAGGTTATGTGTAAAATTTGCCATATTTTCAGTCTATGTGTTGCCATAGCAACCAGAATTTTCAACATAGGAAGAAAAGAAAAAAACGTGCATTATCTCAAGACTGCCATCTACCCATATGTCAAGTTTCATAAAAATATTTCCAGTACTTTTTGAGTTATCACTGGATTCAGTTTATGTGTAAAATTTGCCATATTTTCAGTCTATGTGTTGCCATAGCAACCAGAATTTTCAACATAGGAAGAAAAGAAAAAAACTTGCATTATCTCAAGACTGCCATCTACCCATATGTCAAGTTTCATAAAAATATTTCCAGTACTTTTTGCGTTATCACTGGATCCAGTTTATGTGTAAAATTTGCCATATTTTCAGCCTATTTGTTGCCATAGCAACCAGAATTTTCAACATAAGAAGAAAAGAAAAATACGTGCATTATCTCAAGACTGCCATCTACCCATATGTCAAGTTTCATGAAAATATTTCCAGTACTTTTTGCGTTATCACTGGATCCAGGTTATGTGTAAAATTTGCCATATTTTTAGCCTATTTGTTGCCATAGCAACCAGAATTTTCAACATAGGAAGAAAAGAAAAAGACGTGCATAATCACCATACTGCCATCTACCCATATGTCAAGTTTCATAAAAATATTTTCAGTACTTTTCAAGTTATCGCGGGATCCAGTTTTGTGGACGGACGGACTGACTGACAGACAGATGGACGGACGGACGGACGGACAGACAGACGGACGGACAGACGGACGGAGGGTAAACCTAAAGTCCCCTCCGGTAAACCGGTAGGGGACTAACAAGCAATTAACATAGTATTGCAATCAATCCATATTAGTCCCCTCCTGGTCAGAACCTCAACAACATTCTGAAAGGCCACTGGCCATTCAAGTATGCCATTGAATGAATGAATGTCATAAATGAACAATTATCTTAAGTTTAAAGAAGACACCATTTATAGTCACAAAGGAGAAAATCAAATATACAATTTATAGTAATAAAGAAGAAAATAACAAGCAAATTCGTTGAATTTATATCCCCCGCCGAGTACTGGTTATTATTTACACAACAACTGAAGACATACGGCTTTATTTATATATTAATCATGGCATAAACAGTAATGTTCATTGAACTTGATAAATATTCAGGGCAATAACAGAGCCATAACTTTGTGTTAAATAGTAATATCTGGAAATGCCAATGAGATGTATGCATATTGCATAACTAATCAAGGGCCATAAATCTGAGTTATAAGTATCTGACCGGAACAAGGCGACAATATGCACATCTCCTCTTAGTATCCCATAAAGTTTCATTGAATTCCAGCCAGTAGTTACAGAGAAGTAGCACGGAAACGAATATTGCTCTGGTTGTATGCTGCCTAAGTTACTCTAAGTTAAAATGTCTGACCCAAACCAGGCGACAATATGCCCATCTCCTCTTGGTATTGAAGGTTCCAATAAAGTTTCATTGAATTCCAGCCAGTTGTTGCAGAGAAGTAGCAAGAAAACAAATATTTTTCTATATGCATACTGCATACCTAATCAAGGGCCATAACTCTGAGTTTAAGTGTCTGACCCCAACAAGGCAATAATGTGCGCATTTTCTCTTGGTATTGAAGGTTCCCCTAAAGTTTCATTGAATTCCAGCCAGTAGTTGCAGAGAAGTAGTGCCGTAACAATTTTTGCTCTATATGCATACTGCATTACTAATCAAGTGCCTTTACTCTGAGTTAAAGTGTCTGACCGGAACAAGTCGACGATATGCGCATCTCCTCTTGGTATTGAAGGTTCCCATAAAGTGTCGTTGAATTCCAGCCAGTATTTGCAGAGAAGTAGCATGGAAACGATTTTTTCTTTATATGCATACTGCATAACTAATCAAGGGCCATAACTCTAAGTTAAAGTGTCTGACCGGAACAAACCGATGATAAGCACATCTCCTCTTGGTATTGAAGGTTCCCATAAAGTGTCGTTGAATTCCAGCCAGTAGTTGCAGAGAAGTAGCGCGGAAACGATTTTTACTCCATATGCATACTGCATAACTAATCAAGGGCCATAACTCTGAATTAAAGTGTCTGACCAGAACAAGCTGATGATATGCGCATCTCCTCTTGGTATTGAATGTTCCCATACAGTTTCTTTGAATTACAGCCAGCAGTTGCAGAGAAGTAGTGCGAAAACGATTTTTACTCTATATGCATACTACATAACTAATCAAGGGCCATAACTCTGAGTTAAAGGGTCTGACCGGAACAAGCTGAAGATTTGCGCATCCCCTCTTGATATTGATGATTCCCATATAGTTTCGTTGAATTCCAGCCAGTAGTTGCAGAGAACTAGTCCGGAAACGAAATTCGGACAGACAGATGGACGGACGGAAGGACAATGCCAAAACTATATCCCCCTCCCAATTCCATCGGCTGGGGATAAAAAGAAAATGCAGCTTTGCATGGTGGTGTTTAGTGATGCATATATGAGAACATAATTATATGCTTCAAATGTGAAAATGTCAAGACCACACACTGTGGACAGGCATTTTTAAGCATTTGAGCAGACAAACTTATTGTAGTAATAGCCCCTGTGACCTTGACCTTTGATACAGTCACCTCAAAATCAGTAGGGGCCATCTGCTAGTCATAACCAACAACAATACCAAATATGAAGGCTGTTGACCACAGCATTCTTAAGAAATTGAGTGGACAAACTTTTTTTAACTTAAAGTCCCTGTGACTTTAACCTTTGACCCAGTGACCTCAAAATCAAAAGGGGTCAATAAATGGTCTTGACAAACCTCCATGTCAAATATGAAAGCTGTTGGTCAAAGGATTCTAAGGTTATTGGGCAGACAAGCTTTTTTAAGTCAAGGCCCCTGTGACCTTGACCTTTGACCAGTGTTCTCAAAGCAATAGGGGTCAACTAATGGTCATGACCAACGTCCATGCCAAATTAAAAGACCGTGGAAAAAGTAATCTTAAGTGATTGGGCGGACAAGCTTCTTTTAGTCAAGGCCCGTGTGTCCTTAACCTTTGACCCAGTGACCTCAAAATCAAGTGGGGTCATCTAATAATCATGACTAATCTCCATGCCAGATAAGTAGAATGAGAGTAAAAGGGTTCTTAAGTTATTGGGCGGACAAGCTTTTTTTAGTCAAGGCCCTTGTGACCTGGACCTGGTGACCTCAAAATTTAAAGGGGTTATCTACTAATCATGACCAATCTCAATTCCAAATATGAAGACAGTGGGTCAAAGGATTCTTAAGTTCTTCGGTGGACAAGGAAAAATTGACGGACTACCAGACAGACAAGCTGATTCCAGTATAGCCCCTTACAACTTTGTTGTGCAGGGGTATAAAAAGAACTGAAGTTTGAGTAACAAAAACTTATTTCTAGAAAAAAAACTAAGTTCAAAGAGGACATAATTCTAGAATAGTCCAGGTAGTGTAGTAAACCTTCTAACAAATGATTTGAGTGACAATAAGAAACATATATAATTATATAAAGTTTGAAATAGATACATTAAGAAACAAACTAGAACTATCACTAAATATGATTTATACCCTCCCCCCAAGACTGTTTGGAAATATGGAAGTTACTAGTAATAGAAAACCTTGTTACAGAATTGAAATTGAGTTATAGGGTTAGGCTCATTGAGCACTACACTTCGTCTTATTGTGCTTTCCAACCACTAGTTTTCAAGTTATGCACTGGACAAAAATAGAAAAAATGGCAATAACTATGTTATTAGT